GCACTTTATTTGCATAGTCCCACCCAATCATTTGGTGGGAGTTGCAAGACCATGGTGAGAAAGGTCATGTAAAAGTGATCCATTACACAGCACCATTTATCTCTCCCTTGTTTCCAGGCACGTCTTCTTCTGTCTAAAAATTGTCTTCCATGTACTCTCTTAAAGGTATCCACTTAGTCACATGTAGAAGATTGAATTTATCAATGTATTTGTTGGGATAAGATTTTCTTGCAAGTGACAGAAAATCCAGAATAATAGTGTCTTAAGCAAAAAATAAGCATATTTTTCCAACAAGTATAGGTCTGAGTAGGCAGTCCAGGGAAGACACAGTGCTCCACGGGCCAGGGGCCCACACTTCTCCTAACTTGTTTTTCTGTCATCCATGGCCTCTGTTCCCCAGTTCACTTCTGGTTCATGATGGCTGCTCCAGCTGCAGCCATCATGTCTGCATATTCCAGCCAAGAGGAACAAGTAAAGGGAAGGAGAAGGGCATGCCTCCTCCTTTTAAGGACACTAACCTAAAGTTGCACTTACCACTTCTGCTTATGTATCATTGGCAAAACTGTAATCACATGTCTACCTATAGCTGCAAGAAATAGTCTGGGAAAGGTAGTCTTTATTTTGACTGGCCATGAGCCCAGCTGAAATTTAGGGTTCTCTTACTGAGAAAGAAGAGAACCAATATGGGAAATAACCAGTAGTGTCTGCCCAACCAGTCAACAACAAAAGGCTTCAGCAAAATGTTTCATGATGGAAGGGGCATTCAAAATCAAACAACAATGAGATACCATTCACCTCCATCAGATTTGTAAAACATAAGAGGTCCAACAACACCAAGCCATACAGAGGATGTAGAAAAATGGGAAATCTTCTAACTGCAGTTGGGAGTGTAAATTACTATAACCCCTTTGGAGAGCAATTTGCTTAGAGAAGTTGACTGGAGAAATTCCTAACAAAGTTGAAGATGTTTGTACCTGTCCCCCAGGAATTTCACTGCTGGGTAAAGTCCCACACGTACACTCAAGGAGACAGGGACAAGAACCAACTGCAGCATTGTTTGTAATACTGAAAAACTGGAAACAATCCAATGTCCACGGATAGATAAATGGTGGGACAGTGAAACCGGTGAGAGCCAGAACTTGGCAGGACTGCCTTGTTTTTCCGAGTCTTGCAAGTTTTCTGCTGTTGACAGGGTGCATTCTTACTACTTTTCTATAGCTTGCTTTAGTGGAAAATATTTGCATTTTCCTTCTCTGACAGGTTTCTGCCTTACACAGGTTCCAGCTTTTGCAAGGTTTACTGTATATGCATGCTATGAATTATTATATAGCAATTAAAATAAATGAACCAGAGTAACATGTATCAACATGGATAAATCTCAGAACAAATTGGGAGACCTCAATTATATATGCAATATTCCATTTCATAAGAAAAGAATAAAAAGAAAAGAAAAAGGACATATGTTAACAAGATTTGATAAACTGGATGGTAGTTACACAGGGCGTTCCCTTGGTGGGGCAAATGGCTAAGCGCTTAACTACGAGCTGAAAGTTTGGCAGTTCGAACTCACCCAGAGGTGCCTTGGAAGACAGGCCTGGCAATCTGCTTCTGAAAGGTCACAGTCATGAAAACCCTATGGAGTAGTTCTGCACACATGGGGTTGCCATGAGCTGGAATCGATTCCATGGCAACTAACAATGGCAACAAAGTAACACAGGTGTTCACTATATTCTTTATTCTCTGTTTGAAATAGTTCACAATAAACCAGACAATTAATCTAAACTCAAGTTGGTAATCAAGCTCCCTTTGCCAATGATGGGTTCAGGGGAGCATGGGACCCACTCTGGGCCAGTGAAATGTGACAAGAAGGAAGGTGATGTCAGAAAACTATTTCCTTACTCCTAAGAAAGACAGTGGAGCCCTGGTGGTGCAGTGGTTAAGAGCTCGGCTGCTAACCAAAAGGCCAGCAGTTGGAATCTACCAGCCCCTCCTTGGAAAGGCTACGGGCAGTTCTACTCTGTCCTATAGGGTTGCTATGAGTCAGAACTGACTCGATGGCACCTAAAAACAACAAGAAAGACAGTAGGAAGAGAGAGCCTGTCTTTAAGACGTGGCTGTGTGAGCTATGATGGCCTGAACGAATCCGACCAACTTGCTACCACCCTGAGGATGAAGCCAGAACGGGATGGCAGAGCCAACGGGTAGGAGGAGCTGAAGTTCTGGTTCTGTTGAACTTTAGGTGATACTGCACCTGAATCCAGCCCATCTCTGCAGGTATAATGCAATAAATGTCCTGTCATTTAAGCTGCTCATGGGAAGGTTTTTTGTTGAGGTTGAAAGTATCTTCATTGATTCAGTAAGCAATTTTTAATTAAAAAAGTTAAACAAGATATAGAAGCCCTCGTGGTGGCACAGTGGTAAAGAGCTCGTCTGTGAACCAAAAGGTCGGCAGTTCAAATCTACCAGCTTTTCCTTGGAAACCCTGTGGGGCAGTTCTACTCTGTCCTATAGGGTCGCTATGAGTTGGAATCAACTTGATGGGCTTTTTTTTATGTGTGTGCATATATATATTTCCGTTATAAACACTTATGAATAAAGAATAAACATAAAAGTCCTCCTACACTGTCCCATCTCACTTTGATCCTCTAGATTTTTTTTTATTACATACGTATATATGGAATATGTACATTACACATACGCTGTTGTTTTAAGAAACTATATATATAAGAAAAAAAACAAACCCATTGCTGTCAAGTTAATTCTGACTCATAGTGACCCTATAGGACAGAGCAGAACTGTCCCATAGAGTTTCCAAGGAGTGGCTGGTGGATCTGAACTGCTGACATTTTGGTTAGCAGCCATATCTCTTAACCACTGCACCACCAGGGTTCTATACTATACATAGATCCTCTTTAAGTTGCACTTTTCACGGAAAGACATGTTATGAACAGGTGAGAATTTAACCATCTACCTCGTTTGAAAAATGGCTGTATAGTACTGGACAGTGTGGAAATATGTTTATTTCACTTTTCCTTTATTCATGAACATTTAGACATGCTTTTGGACACTGGTGAAAATATTTTTGAAGAGTAAATTCCCTGAAGTAGCACTCCTGAGTTAAAGGGTAAGTGCATTTTAAGTTTTGATATTGCTGTCTCGCCCAGATAAAGCCTGTGCCAGCTTCCATCTCTATGCATCAGGGGGTGGCCCTGGGCCCAGAGTCCCACACAGCTGCTGGCCTTCTGCCTCTCCCTGCTCTCTGTCCATAGGCTGCCACCTCACTGGCAATGGGGTGCATTTCTCCCAGAGTGAAGCCGTGTGCCCATGGAAAGAATGATAGGAATCGTTATGCCCTCCAGGAACTTTCTTTCTCTTCGTGGAAAGAGGCAGCAACACTAAAGGCAGTTAGTGGGTCCCCAGGGATAATAGTAAAAATATTTAATAACCAGTGGTAGGAACACAAATCAGGATGGAGGCCCTGCCTCAGTGCCGCCAGAGCAGAGGCTGGGGACCCCTGCTGAACCAGGTATTAGCCCTTTAGTTGTTAGATCATAGGAAGGTCTGGGGGGTTCCAAGAAGGGCTGATGAATATGAATAGGAATGGCCATGCCACTGCATACTGGCTGATACCACCCAGGCATTCCAAATTGCTGCAGGTATTCAGGAGCAGCGCAAGCGCTGGTCCGAGTGCTGTTTGTTGGGGCATCATCTTTTAGTGCCCCAAAGGCAGTGTGTGGAGTGAATGCGGACGGCAGGAGGGCAAACCTATTTGGTCAGAGGAGGAGAATCCAGGAGCCCAAAGCCAATTGTTCCTGCCTGAATAACCCAGGGCACAGGAACATTTAATCTAAGAAGTCTCCAACTTCCTCAGAGGTCAAAAAGCGGTCAGGAAACCTTCTTGGTTCCTAGTTCAGGCAGACTGAGATCAGTTTTGCCCCTCTTCCTGGGGAAGGTGGGTGAGAAGACGCCATCTTTGGTCTCCAGGTCCACATACGATGGTCATTTGGCACCGTCTCTCCTGCTTACCAGATTGCAGGCAGTGCTCAAAAGGTTCTTCCCCTTTTCTCTCAGGGCTTTTGCCCTACACCTGCAGGCCTTTTTCATTCGAAGTGCTTGATGCGTACTGGAAATACTGAGGTCCAGGGCCTTGCCTGCAATCATGTAGGAGCGGGAACTCAACTGGTGCGTCTTAGATCAGAATACCCATGAAGGTCATCTGGGAAAAAAGCAGTTATTTATTTTTTCTTTTAGCTTGGAGGCTAAAGAGAGACAGTATTGTTTTTCATAGAAAGCTCCTTTTTTTTCACATGCTTCTCCCGAGAGCGTATCCAGCTGTTTAAGCAAGACTCTGCGTTTCCAGCACGTTGTGCTCCTGGGAGAACGCAAGCGCCTGTGAGAACCTGTGCTGGGGAGGGCGCAGCTGGAAGGCGGGTGGAGGTCCATCTGTTGAAGGCCTCATAGCCTCCAGGCGCCTTCCAGCCCAGAAAGCGTTCCCACCAGACTCAGGGAGTCCTAGCACCTGGAGGGCGCTCCGATTCCACGCCCAGAGGGCGCTGCAGACTTGCGCCTACGGTCCGGAACCAACTACCGCCCCTCCCGTCCCTCTCCCGGGAAGCGCCTCAGTAACCTGGGTCGGGGTGCTAGATGGTGCGCCCCCCTCAGTCACCCTAGAAGCAGCTAAACGCGGACAACAGTGGCTTGCAGGGGAACACCGGTCCAGAGGAGGGCGAAGTTCTGCCGGGATCAGAGAAGGAGAGGTGCGAGATCGGACCCAAGGGGGCGGGGCTGGGGCGCCCGAGGTTAGGGCGTTCCAAGGGGCAGGGCTAAGGGCTCAGGGGGAGGGGCTGAAGGGCTCAGGGGGCGGGGCCCTGGGAGGTGGGGATTGGGGCCGGCCCCGAGACCTGACGGTGCTGGGTGTGGGGTGGGGGGGTAGTTTTTGCCACGGCTAAGGGCCTGTGAGTTTATTATAAGGCGGAGCTCCGCGGGAGAGGTGCGGGCGGGAGCGGAGCCGAGTGGAGAGGAATCCAGCAAAAGAGAGCAGAATCCAGCCAGTGGACTCCGCAGCCCTCGCCTAGGACAGCAGCGCGCTGGGCAGGAGTTTGAGGACGCGCAGCGTAACCGGTGGAGCCGGGCCAGGACCCCCCGAGCAGTCCAGTGCAGCGCCGCGCAGCCCCGACCCGCGCAGCCCGCCGAGCCCCCGCCGCCGCCGGTCCGGGCAGCATGAGGCGCGCGGCGCTCTGGCTCTGGTTCTGCGCTGTGGCGCTGCCCCTGCAGCTGGCCCTCCCGGTGAGTGCGACCCCGGGCCGGGCTGGGAGGTGGCGGGAAGCTGGGGCTCGCGGACCCGCGGCGGCACGTGGAGGGGGAGGGGAAGCAGGGACCTTGTCTTCCCGCGCTAGCCCAGGCTGGCCTGGGGACCGTGAGCAGCGAAACCGGGAGCTCCCTCCCCAATCTCCTGTGCACGTCGGTGGGTGCCGCGCCGACTCTGCCGCTCGGGGTGGGGGCTAGGGGAGCCCCGGAGAGCGGAGCCTACGCGGGCTCCGCGCTCAGTTATGTAAAACGTCTCCACATGTTGCGGAGCCCGCCAGCCTGCAGCGGCCCGGCGGTCGCGGGCTCCCACCCCCCGGCCGTGCACCGCGGCGGCCGGCTCCCCGCCTCCGCCCCAGCCGGTGACTTGGGAGGAAGAAGTGACCGCGGCCACAACTCCCGGCTCGCAGACCCTAATTCAAACCAGACGTGCGGGCTTGCGCCCCCAGCGCCCTGAGCCCGCGCTCTCGGCCCCTTCCCCGAAGGCAAGTTTCGGCGCTGCGGAGCCGGCGCGCGAGCGGGTGGGCGCATTCGAAAAGGAAGCGGGGGTAGGGCCGCGCCGAGAACCGGGCCAGGGGCGGGTGGAGGTAGGGCCCTCGGACTTTCCTTTGGCTGCCCGAGGTGAGGCCGGTAGAGCTGGCAGCGGGAGGTTCCGGGAAGTCGGCCTAAGAACGTTAGAAACCCAGAGGAGCCCAACTTCTGGGCTGCTGAAGTTGTGCTCCTCCCGCGGGGGCGCGTTCCTTTGCCTGGCACGGCGGAGGCGGGGGAGCGGCTTCCATGCGAGTGGACTCGGGAATGACTCGTTTCCCCGCCGAAGCCGAGCCTCCTCCCCTGGCTTGGCTTTGTGCTGAAGTCGCGCGGAGGGAGGGCGGGTCCCTTGGCGCGCCCAGTAGAGCTGGGGAAAAGAGGGACAAAAACGGAACCTGAGGTTGGATAGAACTCCAACACTCACCTTTGGCGAGGTGTCGGTCCCCTCTACAGAGAGACCTGGCCGACAAAGAGCAGCCCCAGAAAGTGGATCTCCCGCCCCAGCCGCGGTCCGCTAGCCCGCCTTCCCCAATGGGGGCGCTTTGTTCTCGGCCCCAGTAACCCTTTCCTGGGAACCGCCCTGAAGTGCAAGCCCCTAACACGGTCTGGGACCTGGGCCTCCGCCGGGTGTCGCTGGCTGCGGGGTGCCCATGTTCCCCGCCACCCCCTCTCCCCACACCCGTTGCTGGAGTTCCGGGGTCCTCCCTGCTGACCGAGTCGCCCATCCGCGGGAATGGAGAGGGGAGGTGTGGAGCGAGGGGCTCTTCCCTTTCCGGAAGTGGCGGTCTCTCGCCACCACATCTGGACAGCTCGACTTCCCTAGTTCTGGCAAAGGGAGGCACGTGGGCAGGGAAGAAGCTCTGACGGGGGATGGGCAGCCCTGTCTTCACTTCTAATGTGGAATCTGGGCAAGTCTCTCAGCAAGTCTGGTCCTCTTAAGCGTTTCCTTTCTATAATAATAGTAGCTACTAATTATTGAGAGCTTTGGAGTATTTTACAGGGTCTGTCTCACTTGAAGAAAGTATTGTTTTTGAGGCTGATCTGTAAGGTGTCTTCTCTGCTTCCCAGGTGACTGTTGTGCTTGAAGCAGTTTGAAGTCCAGGAGAGCGTCCTTGATGCCTCTTGAATTGCTGATGGATTGGAGTAGGGGAGGCAGATCAGAGGGAGCTATGGGGAGGAGATAGATTTCCCAGCTGGAGATCTCCGGTGCAGTCTTGGCTTTCAGGTCCGAGAAAGTGACGTCTCTAATTCACCTTTTCTCTTTAGGGTTGCCGGTTCAGATTGCACCTAAATCATAGTTAATACTCTGGAGAAGAGAGTGGAGCTGCGTGGCTTACTTCCTTGGCCCCCCTAGCATTGCCTGGATGCTCCACCCTCTCCAGGTGGAAGAGGGGGCCTCAGCAGGGGGCTGCTGAGGTGGGGTACCCCACCCATTTCCAGCAGAAATGGGAGGGGGTGAGGCAGTGGTGGTGGTAGTTCCTCTGCCTGCCTCGGTGAGGGCTGACATTCCTGTAATCTGGGATCCCAGAGAGCCAGTTCCCACTAAGGAGGCAGACAGGGTTTAAGATTCCCTGTGGAGCTTCCTGGGTGCTGGGCAGGGGCAGGTGCTGCAGAATGAGGCATTATTTCTCACCTAGAAACTCTGACACCTTGTCGAGACACCAGTCTAACAGTGTGGGCCCAGGAGACAGGGAGGTCACTGGAGGAAAGCAGGAGGGTGGAGGAGCTGTGGTGGGGAGAAGACTTCCTAGAGAAGGTGGCTGACCTGAGCCTGGAAGCAGTGAGCTTTGGAGTCAGACTCTGGCTTGGAGCTGAGGTTTTCTTTTTCCTTTATAAAGTTTAGTTTGTTTTCTCTTTCCCAGCCCTGCCCTCTCCCTCTTACAGTGGGTGTTCAGTTTGGTTAAAAGTGGGGCAGAAATGCCTTCCCAGACCCCCTTCCTAAAAGAAATAAGGCAGTTGGGATTTGCCTAGAGCCGGAGAGCCCAGCTGCAGAGATCTTGGAGGGTTCACTTTGGCCCCAGTGAGAAGCAGGTCACAAAACCCCTGGGGACCAGTGAGGTAGGGTGTGACTCCTGGGCGCCTGATTTTGAAAGGGCAAAGGGAGGCTGCTAGGGCAGGAGGTTGCTCAAAACCACTCCCAAGGGATTAGAACAGGTTTGTCTAAAAAGGTTTCTCTCTCTCTCTCTCTCTCTCTCTCTCTGTGTGTGTGTGTGTGTGTGTGTGTGTGTGTGACTGTGTGTGTATGTCCCGTGGTCTTTTGTTTCTGCCATGTAGGAAAAATTGCTTGAGCTGGCATAGTTATTTGCTGTCTCTCTCTTGCTTTCTAGAAAGGCATAAAGTCTCTTTTTGCCTTAATTATGGGGGCTAGTAGAGACATTTCCCCATGGCCTGGCAGAGTGGCTGTGGGGGAGGCGCTAGCTGCCTCTGCCTGGGCTTGGAGCCTTCTAGAGGTGATGTCACTCCTGGCTTCAGCTCCACTGGGAGGGTGGAGCTGGTTTAAGTCTCTAACTGTGGCTCCTGGTGGGTTCCAATAAAACCTCATTAACTCACATTGGTGGGGGGAGAGGGGTAAGAAAGGAGAAGGGACTGGGAAAGGATTAGTGAAAAGCCTGAAATATGTGGTACTTTATAGAAGGACCTTTTCTATTGAAGCAGAATTTTGGATTCCTGAAATCCCTTGGGAATGAGGTGTACTTGGTACCCAAGTATTTTTTTTTTTTAAATGAGCCAAGAATTCATAATACCCTCAGAAGTATTCTTACTTTGGGCAGGATGCTTTCTGAAATATTTATTTCCCTTCCTTTATCAACAAAAGAATACTAGCAGAAGTTAGTCTCCTGCATAGCGGAATCCTCTTTCTTGTTACTGTGTTAGGTTAGAGAGTTGTCTCCTGGGTTTACTGAGCCCTGAAGAACACTTTGCCCCTGTGCCTCGTGCCCCCAGATTGCTAGATTTTGAATTCTGGTCTGTTCTTTTTTTTGTCTTCCTTCCCTGTCCGACAGCTGCCCAAAGTGACATTTATGTGCCCAAGCGTAACAAGCAGCTTTTCTGTCCAGGTCAAATTTGCTACTTTTCTCCAGCAGTACTAAGAAACTAATCAGACTTCTTAAAATTCTTTCTAAAATGAGGGTTTTACGCTTTGAGTAAGGGTGTCTCCTGTGAGTCATGTTCACTATCGGGGAGGCGTGGGTTTTGTGTCCCTTGTGGATCTCAGCTGTGCTCTGTGCAGAAGAGTGGCAGAAGGGACTCTGGGATGGAGGTGTTCCTGTGTCCTGCAGGACTTAGAGTAACAGAGTGGCTGACAAGGTGAGGCACTTAGGGGGGCCTCCCTCCAGGAACACACGATCTCTTGGGAGAAGCGCTTGATGACTGCATGTTCCGAGTTTCTCAACCTGCTTAGTGCTGTAAGTGACTAGTAGCCTGGACCTGGCCAGGCCAACATCTATAAATCCTGATAAGCAAACCCCCCCCTGCCCTCCCACACCCTCATCTTTTTTTTTAAAGCCTTGACTATTACTTCCAGCTTTGGTACTGTCACCATCTCTTCACCATGTAGTTTGTTTGGATTTCAGTTTTTTTAAACATATGTTTATGTGTATGTATAGATGCATATCCATATGTATGTATGCATATGTGTGTATGCATATGTATGAAATATGCTCCCATACTATTTGTTATGCCAGAAACAGCTTTGGATTAAGCAGCGCCCCAGGACCAAGTCTCAACTCTGCCACTAATTTACTATGTAATCTTGGATGAGTCACTTTACTTCCCAGTCTTGATGTCCTCATCTGTAAAGCGGACATAATGTTATGTGTTCTCCCTGTCCTCATTCTGTCATTTGCAAATTCATTTCATAACGCATGCGCGAAAGTGCTTTGTAATGAAAGTGCCAGAGGAAAGTCAACTGTCAACATAATTAGGATTGCCTTTTATGGAGTGCCTGCTGTTGAGTGCTAGATGCTTTTCCTGCATTCTTGTTTCATCTTTACCCCAGACTTTCATGGTGTATATCATTGCCCCCATTTTGTGGATTGGAAAGCTGAGGTCTATAGAAGTGAGCCCTTCCAAGGGTCTGAAGTGGCAGATCCAGGATTTGAACGTGTGTGTTTGTGTATGGTGTGAATAAATCAGCGGGCTTTCGAGTCTCCTTGATGAAGGCTGACAAAGGGTGTGGCTGAACTCCCCAAGGCCCTGCCTGGGTCTTTGCTGTCCATCCCGGAGAACCATGGGTGTGAGTGTTTTGGATGGAGGGGGTGTTGGCCTGGGCTGAGCTGGCCTGAACAGTGCCTTTAGCCAAACTGAGAACATTGGGCAACATCCTGGGCTTGTGTTGGGCTCAACTGGTGGTTGCTTAGGGACAGACAAGAGCTCCCTACATGACGTCTAGGTCAGAAAACAGCTGTGGGACCCTCGGGGGCAGGGTGGGAAATATGTGTACCTGAGGCTGGTGT